CAGATCCATTATCTGTATCTCTCCATTTCTACTTCTCCCTCCCATCTCTCCACCTAGGATCTCAAGCCACAACAGATTCTGCATCTCTTTGTTGGGGAAAGAGAAATCTTCAGAGACTCACAGCCTTAAATGTAATGGAAACATTTGTTAATGAATGAGCCCTCCTTATATGCGTTACAAGGAAACGCTTAATTGACAGTGGCCACCGGATAACAGGGTTTAATTAATAAATCTAGGTGGCGTCATCTATACCACAGGAAGGGATTACAAGGGTTAATGTGTCTGTCTGTTGGACTTTTATGGAAGAGCTTTGTTGCCTGTCTTTTAACATGAATAGCCCGCCAGTCTGTGACCAAACACTTGCAGAAGGGAGAGTCAATTGGTTACAAAAACACAGCAGCCCTGTCTGAATGTTTGACCATGGGCTGGATGGCATCCGAGGCTGAAGCAGACCAAGGGGAGATTTGTTTCCTTGCCTCTTTAGCCAGCATCTGGGTTTCTATGGTGCTATCTATTCCAACCACACACACACCACCCTGTGTTTGGTAAACAGGCTCTTCTCAAACTTAGCATTTTAATGAGTAGTTCATTAGCACCTCCGACAGGCTGCCAGCACCAGCCACAACACCAGCAAGCTTCAGCAGTGGGATGTGCAAAGGCGGGATTCTCAGCTGCTGGATATTGACACCTCTACTGAAAAAAATCAGTAAAGCTGTGCTGACCTACCTCTCCTAATGCTGTGGCTCCATGTTCAAGGGGAAGCAAGGATATGGAGATCTCACGGAGGCCTGCCACTGAGGACAGATTGCTATTATTCTGGCCTGCGAGCTGCTCTTCAAGTTTGCAGTGCAGCGTGAAAAGGTCAGAGTCCAGGACTCCTGATAAAACACAGTCTGTCCTTTGATAACATAGTTGTCATCCTCCTCTATTTACATGTTTAGAACAGTTATAAGTAAAAATTTTAAGGCTGAGACCATTTCTTTCGGTTTGTAAAGCACAGTAAGGTCATGTCCGCAAATACCACCAGCCCAGGAACACTTCATCTTTACCAGCTCTGCAGATGGCCTAGCTGCTAGTAACCAAGTCCTCAGGAGTCCACTGTGCAGGAGACAAAGCAGCAGCTGACAACATGCCTCTTTGCCCAAGAGACCTATTTCTCCTAGTGCAAGTTGGCTAAGCCCTGCAGAAGCTAGCAGAACCAGCCTGATTTATACCAGCCCATGATCTGGGCTGCATTTCTACTGTTACTTTGTGTGCAAAGTGTGACAGCTGGACACTAGATGAACAAAACCCCTCTCTGCTTGAAGTAATGCCTCATATCAAGTGAGCTCTTTGGAACATGGAGATGTTTGTACTCAAACACAGGAGCATCGTGTAGCAATGTGGCCATACCAGTTCTGCTTACAGTCAGGCACAGAAAACCCTTTAACCTGTTCTTCACCTTCACCAACAACCATAGGAAGCTTACCAACACATCATCAACAAGTCCCTATCCTTCTACCTGACCTGGGAGTCTCATTGTCATGCTGTTGCTGTATATAAAAAAATCACATCAGAACTTTAGAGGATCAGCTTTTCACGTGGATACTGCTCTAAGCCCAGAGCAGGCCCTTACTGTTAACCTATTATTTATCCTGGTTCAACCAAGAGAACAGTTGGACCCTGCAAATCTAATTAGCTGTAATTATTCTCAAGCTTTGCCTCATCTGGATCACAAGACAGATCTTTATCTAGTATCAGTTTAGTCCCATTGCAGACAATTAAACAGGATTAATCATTGTTACACTGAATCCTGTTCACAATTGTGATCTGGAAGACCATGGGAGTTTTCCCACTCATACCTGCAGACACATAGCAGCCAGATGTCTTGCTAACTGCAATTAGCAAATGGAAAATAGTCCACCTTTGTAGTGGAGAGAAAGTGTGCTGGTAGCATGCCAGAGAGAGCTTCGACTGGCCAATACAGGGCACAGAAGCAACACAAGAACATGGCACAGGCCAGTTCCCATTGTTAGTACTGTAACTGTGTCAGTATCAGCCAAGCCAGAGACAGCATAGGTACATAAGTATGTGCCAAGACCTCTCCTCCAAGGAGTGGACAGTTACCCCCAAAGCCACATTTTACTCTACAAGTGAGACCTCAAGGAAAATAGCAAAACTGTTCCTCATAACTTCCACACCTCAACTGCACTCCACAGCCAAAGTTTGCTATGCTTGTTAGTACCTTAAAATATGCCCTAGAGTTTTGGAATTGGCCGCACATCAGATGCATTGGTGAGGGCATTACACCAAGACAGAAGTGTCTGCTAGTTTAGCATCAAGCCTTCTGGCTAGTAAATACCTAGTGATGCTCTCATCATTCCACCCCATCCTTCTGCCCTAGCTCCCATCCACATCCAGCCCTGCACCTTTTCTGCAACTATCACAATAGAGGTGCTGTATGCTTTTGTTTCACGTTATCTCCTAGTCTATTGTACTATATAGGGGGAAGACAGCCTACCTGTCCTTTTAGGAGCAGGATGTCTCTTACTATAAAAGACAGTTTGAAAGAAGCTGTTTCCCTAAATATCATTAACAGGCCATGAAGTGATAATAATGCATTAGAGAAGCCTGCTTTAGTGTGAGAAGTTCTGGTGTCACAGCCTGTTCTCTAGTTGCAGCTGAAACACTTCTTCCTGTTCCCTTAATAGAAAAGGCTTTTATAAAACTTGACACTTCTTTCATACACCAACATACTTATTTCTCTTTTCCTGGACTTTTGTTACTCCTTCCTAGGCTTTAGGGCTGTAACTGCAGCAAGTAACCAATTTCTTTAGAGGAAAAAGCACCAAATAGGATATAGAGGGAAGTGAAGACCCTAAGAGGTCTCAGGCACAAGGGTCCCAGACTCTTTTCTTAGTTAAGAAAAGACACTGTTACCTACAAGAGGGATCTATAGCTGATGGAAGTAAGTCTTTATGAGTTAGCAGTATCTCCAAAACTTTAGAAGACATAAAATTTCTTTGAAGTCCAGAATAACAAGGAGCTCTATATACTAAAGAGAGCTACAATAGTATGCCCTTGCCAGCTATAAGATCTCCGATGTTCTTTCCAGCACTTTTCACATCTAGCATTAGGCAATCATAGTCTAGATTGACTCTTTTTGCATTAACCTTACTTATTTTAGTAGCTAGATTTTTTTCAATAAAGTAGGAGATTAATACTGAGTTATTGCAGAACAACCAAAGATCATAACTATTACAAGTCCCTTGGGGGGGGGGGGCTGCCTT